CGAGAAAACCATTGAGCATCAATTACGAGGCCTTTTAGTGAGATCCTGAAGGGCTCTGCTGAGAATTAGAGGAAAGTTGAAAGCCGACTAATGGCGGACTTTCCTCAAATCATGAAGGATAATCCAGGCCCATATCCTTCGTGCAGAGACCAAGGTTGGCACCAGGGATTTGTCAAACTTGTGACCTGTGCTGACGGCAGGTCTCTTGATCTGTATAAAAAGGTGATAGCAGGAGTAGGGGAGGTTTGGCCCGGGGCTAGGCTTGCGGTCGTTGCGAAAGACCAAATCCCAAGCAGACCGCGGGCTCGGGCTTGGAGCTGATTAGATTGGGCAATCCCAAATTCCCGACAGCCAACTGGCGGGTGGCAAAGTTGGGAGAGAAAAAGGGCGACTATCGACAGGCCCTCATAATAATAAATAGGGAATCTTTGGCACCTCTGGAGAGTCAGAGATTTGTTCTCCTCCATAGCCCTTAAAGTGTATAAAACAGACACGAAGGTGGAGGGGGCCCATAAGCAGAGTGACCGACGGGAACATCCTGAAGGTATGCCATCGGTCGTCAACGACGTGAACAGGGCTCCTCCACCACTCTAAAGCAGCTTCTTCTTCTCCGCTTACAAAGGGGTGGAGAAGATATAGTCCTGATCCAGGAACCCTGGATAGCAGGGAGAAAGATCTGCGGACTGAGGACGCCAGGATACAAGCTGTTTTATAGCGACGGCAGTTTTAAGGTAAGATCATGCATACTTATTAAAACTAACTTAAATGCTTTTCTATTACCTCTTTACAGCAATGAAGACTTGTCTGTAGTCAGTCTCGAAGCTGGTGGCAGTATCTCTTGGTGGGCATCAGTATACCTGCTCTTCGACTTCATGAGCGGTGAGTCACTTTTAGAATTTATTTGAGGCACTAATCTCACATTATGTAATAGAGGCTTTTATTACTAAAAATCGGCAGGAGGTTATAGATATAACTCTTGCCTCAAACATTCTTGCTGCTCTCATCAAGAATTGGAAAGTGTCAAAAGATGATTCCTTGTCTGACCATCGTTATATAGAATTCGAGTTGGTAACCAACCGAAATGCTCCCTTGATCTTCAGAAACCGCAAAAGGACTGATTGGTCAAAGACTCGGTAAGCGATCTCTTGGGTAAAGGGTTTCCCCCTCGTCCTAGAACAAGTGGGTGCCTGGATAGTATGGTCTGCACGCTCAACGGCGCTATAAATGGCGCTTCTAGGGTGGCGTGTTCACTAACTCGGTTAAGAGGCAAAAGAAAGCCGCAATGGTGGTCCGAGGAGTTGCATGATATTCGGAAAAAATGTAGAAGTCAATTCAACAGAGCAAAGTTCAGCAGGGCATCATCTGATTGGAACGCATATAAGGATGACCTCAGAAAATACAAGCGTCAGCTGAGGAGGGTGCGGCGATCCTCCTGGAGGGAGTTTTGCGAAAGGATTGGCGTGGTTACGGAGGCATCTAGACTAAGAGGGGTCTTGGCAGGTGACCCAGTTGTGCCGAGTTATCTGCTGGTAGCTGATGACTACTAGACCAGCTTAATTTCGGAGTTCCTGAGGCTGCTTCTGCCCTGGGAAACAGCGAATTTTGTTCCCCAGAAGTGGTCACCGAGGGAGGAATTCTTTGGGCTATCCGCAGCTTTCAATCTTTCAAGTCGGCGGGCCCGGACGATATAGTGCCTGCGAAACTACAAAATGCGGCGGAGGTCATGCTGGCCTGGCTAAAAATTATCCACGAATGCTGTATAGACCTAGCTCACATTCCAAAATCGTGGAATGTTGCCAGGGTCGTCTTCATCCCTAATTAGCCTAGCGCTTTCAATAATGTCAAGTCGCGGTCGATCACTCAAGCTCTGTCGCAGGTCTCAATTCATGGCTCCCTGACTGCCCTGAGAGGAAATATGCAGGCATATCCATCAGAGCCAGCTTTGGCGGGTCATGCATTGAGCGCTCTCTTGGAAGGGGCACGCCGTAAGGAGATGTGCTTTCTCCTCTTCTCTGGAGCCTGGTAATCAATCGGTTACTAGTACTCCTGGAGAGGTAGGGCTATAAGGTGGTCGCCTACGCAGATGACGTGGCAGTGGCCGTATCTGGGAAGCAATACTATGCACTAAATGGGCTGATGCAGAGGGCCCTTAGCCTAGTTTCGAACTGGGCGACCGACTGTGGCAATTGTGTGTGTTGGTGGGGCTATGCGGGGAGATTCTCTTGCATCTGCTGCCATTAGATATACTGGGCAGGCAGATGGGTTCGGAGTCTGCAGTGCGAATTGGGGCCGTATCACAGTGGTCGTGTGTCCCCACAGGTCACGCTTCGATTCTTGCGGACTGGGAGCACAGGGTGGGGTCAACTGACTTGGTTCCTTCCGTGCTTTCATTCGTGAGGAATTTCTAAGCGTCGGTCCTGCCGAGGCAAAGCTGGCGGGACGCGGTCAGGGATGACTCCGTCCATTTCTACACGGATGAATCCAAACTTGATGGAAAGGTGGGTGGGCGTGTTTACTCCGAACAATTTGGAGTTGAGTTCTCCTTTCGCCTGCCAGACCACAGTAGTGTCTTTCAGGCAGAGGTGGTCGCAATTGGGGAGGCTCTGCGATGGATTTGTGAGCATGTGGTGTCTGTGGGCAGTGTTAGCATATTCACGGACAGTCAGGCAGGCCGCAATAAGGGCGCTGGAGTTGGATACCTCTACGTCCAGAACGGTCCTAGATTGCAGGTCGTGTCTTAACGAGATGGCGAGGCAATTTGGGTTAAACTTGGTTTGAGTCCCCGGACACAGTGGGATCTTAAGGAATTGCAAGGCGGATGAGTTTGCGAGACATGGAACGACCCTCGGAATTTTATCTGAAAAGAAAAACCTGGGCATGCCTCTAAGCATTCAAAGGCTGCTGTTACGCAGTGCAGCGGCGGAACGTACCTATCTCAGATGGGCGAATGGAACTACGTGTAACGCGACAAGGAAGTTGTGGTCAAAGCTAGACTTGCGTCGCACAAGAGATCTAATATCTCTTCGACGGGAGGATATTGACGCGGTTTTGACTGGACACTGTCTGATTGGCGATCATGCCAGGAGGATGAGCTACACCGCAAACAATCACTGTAGGAGCTGCTGCGACGAGGAGGAGGAGAAAACGGTGACCCACCTGTTATGCTCGTGTCCGGCGTTGGCGAACTCCAGGCGGAGGTTTCTTGGATCACACTTTTTAGAGCGGGCCCCGGACCTAGCAAATGTAAATGCTAGGGATCTTGGCCGGTTTCTGAGGAACTCGGGCAGGTTCTAGTGAGGGAGAGAGGGGGGATCCGGCGGCATCACAATGGACCTTAGTGGCCTAGGTGTACCCTTCGGGGGCCGTGCAACCTAACCTAACCTAACCTAAATTCCATGTACATATGCACATACGACTAGTTATTTATAAATAGTTACTTCTGTGGAAAAAGTACAGGTACTTCTCGAAATGCTAAAGATATTAGACAAAAGGCATTAAACAGGGTTTTGCAAGTAGGGTTTCAAAAATACATGACATTGCAACTTTTTAACCCTGAAATAGCTATATTTTAAGATTTTCTGTAAAAATTTTTGTATAATAAAAAGACTTTTTTCTTTTATACTTTATATTATTACAACAAAAACCTAAAATTGAATAATATTTGAAAATATAATGATCATATTTTATAATGATGAGAATTATTATGTTGTTTTTGCTTAGACCTTTTCTTTATTTAAAATTTAATACTGTATGTCCACCCATATTTTGTATATTATGTTTCGAAAGAAGTTTTAACAAGTAAAAACGTTTCACTCGGTATAAACCGATAGAATTATACCCTGCACCTTTCGTTATAGTGTAGCAATTACTCGAACCTGTGAAATCATTCTATAGAAACTTCATAGACATGTCTGATCTATAATTGGACATCCGACTGTCAAGTTTCATGAATCTGACTTTATTATTTTCCAAATATTAAGAATAAGCTTTTAGACTTGTATGGGGGCTACTTGAACCTGTCAAGCAATTCCATCAAAACTTCAGAAATATATTTGACCTATAACTCGACATACAACTGCCAAGTTTCATGAATCTGACTTTATTATTTTTCCAAATATTTTAAATAAGCTTTTGGAGTTGTATGGCAAGTACCCGAATCTGTCAAGCAATTCCACTAAAACTTCAGATATATATTTGAACTATAATTGGACACATGACTGCCAAGTCTCATGAATTTGACATTATTATTTTTCCAAATATTTAAAATAAGCTTTTAGACTTGTATGGGAGCTACTTGAACCTGTCAAGCAATTTCACCAAAATTTCAGAAATATATCTGACCTATAACTCGACACACAACTGCCAAGTTTCATGAGTCTGACTTTATTATTTTTATTATTCTATTATAATTTTTGTAGCATGTGTAGAATATGATTTTACACATGTGTACATATTTATAGCTTTATTAGTTTTTGAAATATTTTAAATAAACTCTTTGAGTTGTATGTCAGCTACTCGGGCCCGTTTTCCGAATTAGTCCAATAACAACAGGGTTCGTCCTTGGCACAAAAGAAAAACCTTGCAAAAGTTTGGTGTCGATTGCATTATTCGTTTTTGAGTTATAGTGCGATCGGACGGACGGACGGACGGGCATGTCTAAATCGATGCAGAATTTTACGCTGAGCAAGAATATATATATATGTCCATATCGCAGATGACTCCGTCAAGTAGTTACAAACTCCATACCAAAGTTAATATACCCTTCACGAAGTGCGGGCTATAAAAAAGTAAGTATACACACTTAATCGTGTTGGAATAGGCTTAGATAATTCATTATTTTATTCACATTTCCTATAACTCTTCAAAAACCATCCTGTTTTACATTATATAGCTTCTTCTGAGGTATCAAAAAAACGGGTACTTCTAGAAGGGCTAGAGACATTGAACAAAAGGTATTAGATAGGGTTTTGCGTATCCCCTTTTTTTTTTTTATCCTTTCTTCATTCCCGTTGGGAACATAGGGCTTCCACATAACCTCTAAATCTTACTCTGTTTTGTGCTAGGTATTTTACTTCTGACCAAGTCTTTCCGCTTGATTCAACTTCTTTTAATATTGTTCTACGCCATGTGTTTCGAGGTCTACCCACTCTTCTTTTTCCCTGCGGATTCCATTCTAGAGCTTGCTTCGATATTGTGTTGTTTGTTTTCTGCAGAGTGTGGCCTAACCATCTCCATTTTCTTTCTTTTATTGTTGTGCATATAGGTTTCTGTTCTGTAATCGCCCAGAGTTCTTCATTTGTTATAATTATGGGCCAGAATACTTTGCATATTATTCTTAGACACTTATTTATGTATACTTGTATTTTATTGATATAGCTTGCGTCTATATGCCATGTTTCACAACCATATAGTAGTGTTGATTTTACACAGGCGTTGAATATTTTGACTTTTGTGCTTCTGGCCAAGTAGGGTGACCTCCAGACATGCCACAGTCTGTTAAATGTTGATCTTGCCTTAGACAATCTGTGTTCAATGTCTTGTTTTGTACCTCCATCATTTGCTACGATACTGCCCAAGTAATTGAATTGTGGCACATCTTCTATTGTACTGCTTTGTAGTTGGAGAGGTGTATTTGATTTTGTATTTACTTTAAGGCATTTCGTCTTGTTGGCGTTGATCTTAAGTCCGATTTTGGCAGCTTCTTCTTCTAGCTCCTTAATTTTTTCTTGCATATCTGCGTGTGTATGTGCCAAGAGGCAGATATCATCGTCGAGAACCACCACGAAGAGGAATGGCGAGAGAGGGCATCCCTGTCTGACTCCTGATTTTATTTCAATAGGCGTGCTTAGCTGGCCGCCGTGTAGTATTCTGGACTGCGCGTTATCATACATGGCCTTAATTACGTTTACAAAGAAGAGGTATCCCCTTTTACCTCTTTCTAAAATGCTATTTTTCTGCTCTTTACAAAATGGTACTACATCTTGTGGAGGTAATTTTATTTATTTTTAGTAGTATAAATATTGTGTATAAATTAATTTTTGGAAGTGTGGCTTATAACAAGAAGTGAATAACCCCTTAAGAAAATTATTAAAGTTAATAAAATTAACATTGTTTTACAATGCATTTAGTTTTGAATTCTTTTCTGGATCTGCTGCAAAATGTAATAGTAAGCAAAACATAAGTGTACATTAAATTTCTTGACAATATATTTTTAGAACAAAATGTAATAAGAAAACATTACTTCGTTTCATTAAACTTTTACAAATAGGATTTCTTCAAAAAAAAAAAAAAAAGGTTCTTTATTTCATTTTAAATAAGAACCGAAAAATAAAATATGCCTAATTGTACATCCACGCATTTTATTCGCATGCATTATAGAATCCAAATATATATGTACATGCATTTTAGTTGTTAGCGAATTATTTTATGCGTATACAGTAATTTATCTCTTAAAGTTCTTATTGTCAACAGTAATTTACGATTTAAAGCAATATAGCTCAAAGCGAGGTTCTAAAGTTAATATTACTCAAAAAATATTAGATCTAAAGGGAGCAAATCATTTCATTAAGAGCTTTTCCTATTTGAGTTTTATCTTATTATTTATTAGGAAAAAAACATGTCTATATGTATATTAAAGGCTTTAAATGTCTAGGTAATAATATCAAAAGGAAGAAGGAAAATGGAAAATATTTTTCAGTAAAACTTCCGCTCTTTATGATATCTTTTGATCATTCGGAAGAGATAACCAATTTTATAAAATAAAATACTTACAGCACATGAGAGTAAAAATTGAAGCTCTTAGAAGCAGCAAATCCATTCCGCAATGGAAAAGATGCCAGAGATTTGGACATATACAAAAGTTTTGCCAAAGAGAGGCTAGATGTGTAAAATGTGCTGGTAATCATATGAAGCGGAGTGCAATAAGAAGGATAATTTTTAACCCAAATGTGCGAACTGCAATGAGGCACACCCTGCTAGCTATCGAGGCTGTTTGGTTGCCAAAGAATTGCAAAAAAGAAAATTGAAAAAGAATAAAACCAAGCAAAACCAAGTTAAATTTAGTGAACAAAGATCTCCAAAAATAGACAGAACGGCGGCACCTTGTAAGATGTTAAAGAGAGTATCTTATTCACAAGCGCTTCAAAGCAAAACCCCACAAAATAGGAAACTGAAGGAACCTGAGAATAAAACCCCACAAATAAAAAGAAGTGACGCAGACATTATGCTAATGATGCATAGTATGTTGATTAGAATTGACGAGATCTCTAAAAGATTATTAAAAATAAAAAATGCATACACTGAGATGTATACGGGGACACCAAAGAAGTGAAGAAAAAATGTACGTAAATGAGGTACGTATAGTAACTTGGAATGCTAATGGTGTTCTTAATAAGAAACAAGAATTGGAGCTCTTTCTCAAAACGCGAAATATAGATATTTGTTTGCTGTCGGAGGCTCATTTGACATCTTATACGAGCCAAGAGGAGGTAATCAGCCAAGAGGAGGTAGTGCAATACTAATAAAAGAAAGTATAGAACATAATGAAGAATTCAAGATAGAAACGTCTGAAATTCAGCTTATTTTGATAAAAATTAAATCGACTAGACAGGACTTTAGTGTTGGTGCTGTATACTGTCCACCAAATTGCAGCATTAAGAAAAATACTTTTAAAGATCTCCTGTTCAAGCATGGGCACAGATATCTAATAGGAGGTGAATATAATTCCAAACATAAAAATTGGGGTTCTAGAATCACCTCAACTAGAGGAAGAACTAGAAGAACTACGTTGTTGCTACTACCAAGATTCCTGATGTTATTGACTTTTTTATAACCAAAAAAATATCAGAAAACTTTCTAAACCTTAAAGATAATTATGATTTTAATTCAGATCACTTTGTTGTCATATTAAAACTAAATGAAAAAATAACTAGAACATTATTTAAACTCAGTTTGACAAATAGCATTACAGATTGGCTGTGCATTAAATACGAAATAACAAATAATATTGACGTAAATATTAATATACAATCAAGAGAACAATTAGATCTTGAGTTAGAAGGATTTATTAAAAAAATAACTGGAGAAATAACTGATTTGGTAGGTGAAAAGAGAAGGGCCAGACGTAGATGGCAAAGTTCGCGTCACCCTGGTGACAAAACTGTTTTAAACAGACTTTCATAGGTGCTTGAAAGAAAAATCCAAGAATTTAAATCGGCAACATACGAAAATTATATAAAGAACTTGTCAGCTACGAGGGAAACGAATTATTCCTTATGGAAGGCGGCAAAGAGCAAAAAGAGACCGATTAGGCACGCTCCGCTACTGATGAAAGCAAATGGAAGTTGAGCGAGGAGCAATATGGAAAAGGTCGAATTTTTTGCTGATCATTTGGAAAGCATATTCACGCCAAACGGAATAACCTCAGATGTTGGTTTGGTGGAATCTATCGCAAATGAAGCAGAAAGCATAGCTCCACTTACCCAATTAGAAATTGCGGAGGAGATAGGATGCCTGAAGTTGAAAAAATTGCCAGGTTTTGATCTTATTGCTGCGGAAGTACTGAGAGAGCTACCAGACGAGGCTTTGGAACATCTGACGAAAATCATGAATGGATTTTAGGTATATTCCTTGTGCTTGGAAAGTCGCGGAGGTAATTATGGTGCCCAAATCCGGGTAATCCTTGAGGGAAACAAAGTCTTACAGGCCCATTTCACTGTTACCAATGATGTCTAAGCTTTTTGAAAAGCTGCTATTAAGGAGATTGAAGCCAGTAATAGAAAATAGGGGCCTAATACTGAACCATCAATTTCGTTTTAGAAGAAACCATTCTATAATAGACCAGGTCCATAGAATAACTAATATTATAGAAAAAAGCTTGGAAAATAAGGAAATCTGCTCTTCTATGTTTCTAGACGTAGCACAGGCATTCGACAAGGTGTGGCACAAGGGCCTTATACTTAAGTTAGGGCAAATGTTACTGTCGTCATTTGTAGAAATTTTGAAATCTTACTTAGCTGATAGATTTTTAAGAAATAACAAGATGCTGAATACTCCACGCTAAGAGAAATAAAGGCAGGTGTGCCTCAAGGCAGTATATTGGGCCCAACGCTGTACCTGCTTTACACGAGTGATTTGGCACAAATAGAAAATGCTACGATAGCCACTTTTGCTGACGATACTGCAATATTGGTAGTAGGAGCGAACATTGACGATTCGACATAAAAATTACAGGAGGCAATTAACAAAATAAGCCAGTGGACTAGAGATTGGAGGGTGAACAAATTAACGTAAATGGAATGACTTTATATGTCAAGCTAAGGTGGAAAGAGCATATAAAGAAGAAACACATAGAATTAGAAAATAAATATAGAGAAAATTATTGCCTCCAAGGTCGTAAGTCCAATTTGGCAATTGATAATAAGATATTAATTTATAGCCAAGTCATTAAACCAATATGGCGATATGGCATTCAACTGTGGGGTTGTGCCAAGAAGACTCACAATAACAAAATTCAGACCTTCCAGAATAAAGTTCTACGGGACATGGTAAATGCGCCATGGTATATACATATATCTAGCTCGGCTGCTAGACAATGGCGTTATGACAGAAAGACTTAAACGAACAAGAATATTCGATATAACACGAAATATCAATTTCCTTATATAAGGTATATAATTCCTGCAGGGAAAAGCCAAGTTAGCGCGGATGTAATAGTTGGTCTGCAGGACCACTTTTATCCGTTCAGAATTTAGGTGATTTTTTATGGTAGGAGTCACGCTCCCGCACTGTCGGAGGAAAAAGGCAGATAGCGCCGTCCTTCTTCGTCTTTCGAGATTTTTCGCCTAGTAGAAAAAAAAACAAAAAAAAAATGTGTATTATGGGTGTATTCTTGAAGAATGGAACATAATTTCAAAACTGCAGACATAATACTTGCAAGGCTTGCAACGCAAGCATACACGGCTCAATTCTGGTAACTTCTGGTACATTATAGCTACTATAATGTAGCTACCATAAAACAATCTACATAACAATGTACTTGTTCCAGCAATTCCTGAAATAATGCCAAATAGGTTTTGGAGTTGTACGGCAGCTATCACAAGTGCTCATGAGATCTCAAAAATTTTTAATAAATATAGCTGTTATTGCACCATATTTTATTTTGAATAATTTCATTACTGTAGGTTCAACAGTTTTTGTGTTTGAGCGAACACAATGGCCCTTATAATATGTTAAGTTGTGTGAAAACTCAACACTATAGCTTCTATAATTTTTCGGACCTTCGCACATACGTTCATACGGGTATAACAATATATTTATTTGTGCTACCTCTTTGGTAAATTGGTCCTGATTATAATGTTCCTACCTGAACACACTCTCAGAAATGAATGTAAAATTAAATTTAAGCAGAGCTTAAATAGTAAGGGAAGAAATTAGAGTGAAAAAAGTAACCACTCCGAATTTATTTCTATAAATAAAAAGAAATCAGCCCACTTCTCGGCCGTAGTGACAAAATTTTTGGATAACATTTTTCACACTCCCAACATTAGATCTTGTAGTTAAATCCTGATCTCTTATTTTAAATTGCACTTGTTTTTTAACGGAAAGTATTGAAATATTCATTTAGTCGCCTTCGATTCTCGCGATATTTTAGACTTTAAAATTTTTAACATGCGGTAGAACTTTCATTAGTTACATAATTTGATATTTCTTTTATAAGACTTAATAAACTGAA